AACTTTGTTATGGTTGAACTGAACCTATATATGCAAGTTTTAATCGTGACACAGTAGGTAAATTTTCGAGTCACACATTTGCATGGCTAGGAGCGACAACACTGAATGGAACTGGAGAAAATGGAATAATCCACGTTTACTTCCAGCCATCAATGCGTAGTCAATCGGGGAAGCGGTCATCGTAGTGTAAATTGTCAGTAGATTAGCTTATAACAAGCAGTATTTCTACTTTTTGGAGTCCAGCCTGAAATTAATCTTAGCACAGAACTGGAGTACACAAAGTTGGCTTGACACAAGAGTGGCCTAAATTAGCACTACCACAAAACCCTATAGATAACGCCCGGTCACAACCCGAGAAAAGAGAGGACGGAGTCGAAAAAAGACATGTCCGTTTATTCGCGTCACGCCAGTCAAGTCGAGTTGCGTAAAATCTAGTAGCTAACTTGTGTGTGCGTTCGATACGCGTGCGTAACAGGCGACTGCTAACAAAAATCAATAACAAAGACGGTGAGTCATTGATACAGTCGAGCAAGCACTCACGCGCGGTGGCTGCCTGTCCACTACAGTGCATTCACGGTAAAAATCGATTGATTTGCGTTCGCTCGCGCTCGCAAACTGCGTTCGTTGTGCTCGCCTGCTGGTCGCCTCAGAGCTTCTACACTCTGTGTTGTGATGGACAGACACCTTCCAGCACCAGCACGGTCATCACCCAATTGCCACAATCACGTCACCGGCATCTGCACTTTGTTTTAGTTATTTTGCAGCATAAAACAATTGGATGCACTCTGGTAGCCTTGCTTCGAAATGCCAGGCGTGAGAGCTCTTCTGAAGCCGGTTAATGGTGGCGCCTCGAGGGTTCGCGATGGGCGCTGTAATAACTTCACCAGTCCCACATGGTCCTTCTAGACCGACTTCCGTGATTTACGCTGCATTCTTCTCTGTTGGTTGCCAGATGGCCGTGGGTCTAAAGTGCACCCAGGGGTAGCAGATGTGGCGAGCGCGCGTCCCAACATTTGGCTTCCACACTGCGACCGTTTTTCACGCTTTATTATCATTGATGCTGCATTGCTTGGCCGAGGCAATATTTGTGCATTATTCATCTCCATTTATTTTCTAAAATGCTAGTCCAACCAACGCCGGAACGCATTTCGTCTGCTTAGTTGGCCAATTGGATGGTTTAAAAAAACTAAGGCAAATAAGAGGGCACAGTTTCCAATGTTGTGAGAGTCTCGTTGCGTATTTTACTTCAAACACGAATGTCTGAGGTTGGATTTACCTGTGTTTGTTTCTTTAGACCCTGCTGCGCTCATATAAAACTGCAAGAAGCAGTCAATCATTTAGAAATTGTACACAGTTATGTCATTTGTTTTTTTTTTAGAAAAACGCGAGAATTGTCTGAGGCTGCTCGTTCATACCGATTACTTATTTCACACAGTGGTTCTGAAAAAGTTTGGTGTTTACAAGTGTTCCAAAGTTGAAACCTTCTGGAAGAAGAAGTACAGGAGGTAATACACTGTTCCGTCAGTCTGGTGACTACGCGGTTAGGAGGGGCCACATTTTGTGTACAAATGCAATCTCATTATTATAACGCGAGACTACTTTACTTGCCTTTTTTGTTCCTGAGAAAGAACACAGCATGGAATTCGCCTGAATGCGGCCGGTGCTGCGAAATTCCTACTTTAAGTAAACAAATAAGTCCGGCGAATACAACTAACACCGATGATTAATTCTGGAGTTATCGATTACGTGCTCAACACTGACATTTAGAAAGCAGTAACTAATTATGGCGGTAGCGGCTGAAATATTTTGCTGAAGATACTTGACGGCCTTTTTACATGAACGACATTAATAGGGATCTACAGCGTACTGTTAGTGAGTCAGCGCTTTGAACTCAAGTTACACACCACTGATGGAACACAAATAATCTGAAATCGTCAAGACGTGAATTAACACACCAAAGTTTGCTCCCAGAGTGTTCATTAAGCTCCACTCATCAAATTAAAAGATTCGAAATAACACAGGCTACCTTCGTCGTCATCCCGGCCGTCCCACAATATTCCAAGGTGCGCAATCAATGTAGCTCACTTCCTACGGACAGTTTACTGATTTCTTCTTCAATAAAAGCAATCTTTCTGTAGTGTTTGGTTGCAACTCGTGCAAACGAGAGAAAGCATTCAAACAGATGCAATTAGGTTATGTGAGACCCCTGGCCCTTTGTTTCAGTTCTAAGTTTGCCATGCTATGTCGCATACCCACAACTCAGGCACGCTAATGCCATACGATCTCAGTGTACGCAGACGGCTGAAATGCACCTCAGTATTGAGAGAGACAAAAGAGCCAATGAAATAGTGCTCCAGTGTCGTGTAAATATCCCACTAATCTATGAGGCGGAAAAAAGACTTCAAGAGCCTTCATCTTTCAGTGCATTGTCGTCGGCGTCTATGACCACCAACTCATCCGTTGGTTTTAAGTCGCTGAACCGAGAATTGGATCACACCCGCAAAGGTCAAGTTTGCGTACCACGAAATCACGATCGAACTTGACAATGGGTACTACGGTTTATAGCCTACCGTAGAAACGGCCCAACCCAGTTTAGAAGTAGAATGAATATCCTGTCAACCACGCAACAGATTTGACACTTTCAGTTGTTAGGCTACAAAATGTCCTCTTTTTAAACAGTGCTTCATTACGACTGCATTATGAGGCAGGATCAAGTCAAGTACGTAGTGGACTGACAGCCACCCCGCGTGAGTGTGCGTGCATGAGGGCCCGAGTGGACCAATGACTCACCCCTTTTGTTATTGGCCTCTGTCAGCATTCGACTGTTACGCATGTGTACTCGTACGCCCACAAAGTCACTTGGTTGGTTCGACTCTAATGAACCTGTCGTGTTCTCTGTCGCCTCCTTTTCCCCTCTCCTCGGGTGGTTACGGGCCGTTAACTAGAGGGTTGTAAGGTAGTGCTAAGTCTCTAGCCGCTACAAGTACTTGGTGAGCCTTAAAAACTACATTTCCTTGAGAAACGCAAGCTTGTGAGTAAATCTGTTAAATGTTGAGAAGGTTATCATCGGTGCAATTGACGTCCTTGAAATAGCAGATTCCAGGGACTCCATCAGCGGTAGACACGCTTGACGAATCACTGCACAAAGAAGTTACTCTACGATTTCCCCTGTTGTCTATGAGATTTCTCTCACATAAACTGGTTTCACTCGATGGTAAAATGGTGCCAAATGGACTGGGACTAGAGGGTTTTCATTGGCCAGAGAATCCAGTTTTTCATTGGATCTGCTCGTTATTTAAATTACGTACAACTCGCTGCACCGTGGATATAGTTTTGTTGACACTCAACCGTTATCATTTCACTGTGCCAACATTTCAGATAACCTTTGGAGTAGTTTCCGTTGTTTGACACAAATCTGAAAACCGGAATTTGCTGACTTATTGGCAGACTGATAATTTGGTGCATGAGATGAAGCGGTACTCCGACAACTTTATCATTCTTTCTTGCTGCATAACGAAGATCCACTTTTTCTACAAGTCCCATCAGATTTAAGAGTTACCTCCAGTCTAGATGTCGCTGTCAGTAATTGTTCAATGTGGTTCCACTTAGGCAGATGTTAATCAAATTAAAACCTTGTTCTTGAATCAGGTTTTGTATGAAAGATAAGCAGTTAATAGCTACTCAAGTGAAATAAAATTTTTCCTCAATTGTCCATTGATATGTGAAGAGGAATTGCGAAACACCATTCGCGTTAGCCGGCCCAGAATTGCGCCAGCCAATCAAGTTATTCCAGCGGATCACGAGCAAACACCGTTGAATTGGCTGGCGTAACAGATCTGTTCAACAGTCCTGCAAACGTCGACGACACGATGGACCAGCAGTGATCGGTAGGCGGCGGTTACGTCTGTGGTACGCGCCGCGTACACGAGAACCAGGTGAAACCGCGGGTGACCTGTCTCGTAGTAAAGTGGAAGTTTGACCTCAAGGGACGACTGACCAGCAGTCGAGGTGTGACTTTGGGTGTGAATTCTCGTCTCTGGACCCAGGAAGCTAGCCAGAGATATTGTTGAGTACTCACAGTGGTTTATCTACAACAAATCATTCAAAACCCACTGAAAATACACTACTTGAAAACACTAAGGCAACCGACCGATGGACGTTTAGACCTGTGGAATAAAGAGGAAGCATTTTCTGCGCTGGTAAAAAGGAGACATATCATAAAAAAGTAACTAGACAGTTAGCTATAATAGTAACTAGTGAAAGCAACACAAATTTGTGATCACGCACAGTGGGGTGGGGAACGGTCAAGATTTTGGATCAATGGCAAGCGGGGAATGGTTTCACGACAGAATCGCTCTCCGAAATATACCACTTGCTTCACCTAGCTGGGAACGAGAAAGTGTTTTAGGTCACAATCTCAATAACCTGACACCAAAGTGTCAATCAGGTACTGTCAGTTCCTTTTCACAAAATACTTCTTACTATTTGCCATCTGCCCAGCAGAATGTTTTGGCGAGTGCTTGTCCTACTGAGTTAAATACGCAACATAAGGAAGGTTTAATGCAACTTACAAAGTTATAAAACCGCGATTTGGGAAGCTTAAACACATGTAGTTGCCGCGAGAAATTGATTCAACTCTATTACTACCATTTACAAGTTGTCTGGGGTTCTCGAGGACGCACATTATTTTTTTAGGAAACATTGCATCGATTTACATCTTAGGCGGTTGGTACGAAAGTCCTGCATGGTAGCGGATTAACGTTGCATAGTCCTTAAGACTTCGAAAATGTTGATTACCATCATGGTTTCCAACATCGGGCCTGAATACATTTCGACGACAGCTAGGTCAACGACAACACGTCAACTGTCGCATCACCTACATCATAATTCAATATTTCACACAAAACATAGCATCTATTTAAACAAAATTTAAAAAAATTTCATTACATTCGTTTTCGGATTCAGCAGCTCGTGTACATTTCTTCGTCAAAGCTTACGCGGGCCTTTTTCAAGATCCTATGTTGGAAGTAGTAAGGCAATGATAACCTTCTGACTTTTGAGTTTCAAGCATAAGGTATCTTTTCTGTGCGCTGACATAGCAAACGAGATCGATTAAGGTCACACGAAATCCATAATTTGTTATAAGAATTTACAAGAGGCTCAAGCGGCTGACTCACTCTTTCTTCAATTCCTTCGATTGTACGGTTTTCCTGTTGAAGCATCTTCTCCTCCGGAAGGGAAAGCGTTTTTATCCAATAGGAATGAGGCACTTGGCTGATAGGCAGTGTCATGGAGACCTGGTGGGTCGCGCAGAGCGCATCGAAACGGACCGGGTACTTGTCATGGTCCCAGGTTTGCAATTTTCCGTCGTCTGCCTGCACTCCCATATCTAAAGGCACACGGGACAACGTCTTCTAACCACGAAATCCCTACTTATTTTTAATGCAGCAGATTTGGGGATCTTTCACACTTACACAACAAAGCAGGAATTCTACTCTAATGGCATTGAATTTCACGGCATCTTGCAACCAATAATTCAATAATACTCCTCGGTGTAATCGAATTTTAAAGGGACATTGGGTTTACAATAATGATTTGGGCAACTCACCAACAAACTATCCAACCAGGTTTAAGTTAAAAGCAAAATTTAGCCATCTATAGCTCCGTAACGCCCAAGTTTCCGCATTTCCGAAGTATTTCCCGTGCTTCTAGATTGGGAATATCTAAATTTCCCTGGTGACCAAGAACGGGATTTTGTTGCCTTAAAATGGTATTAGATTTTAAGTGTTGAGTTGCGTAGGTTGAATTAAAGCATGCAATGGTACCATAGAAACACTTCACTGCCTACTTACTAGTGGTCGTCGCTCGCTGGGGAAGAGGATCACTCTCGGTTGCATTGAGGAAAAACAGCCTGGCGACCTTTTCGCCCTGGACAAAGTGCCTTCCGGTGGAGTTGTTTAGCAGAGACAGCCGCAGCCGGAACGTCCCACCGAGTGCGTCGAATGTTTGTGACAACTCGGGCAGGTGCACTATCGGCCGGTCAGGAATGCGCGTCGTGAAAACGGGTCGGTCGTCTTGATCTTGCCCCGGTGCTTCTCTCGAGAAAATGGGAAAATTAAAGGGGATAAAAATGTTTCCCCATCGTCTCGCACTTTAGACCACAAATTCGTGTGGATAAATTTCTTCAACGACACCATGCACCGCTAATGGCTCACGTCAGACTCATACACCTCACTAAATCGACATTTTCTAGTGGTCTTCATTCCTCTTGTCTATTCATTATTTTTGACTAAATTTGACCTCCATAACTGGCATTCACGCCTAGCCCGCTACCCTCTTTCGCGGTAAATTCAGTCGCGCACGCATGATTTAGCAATCGATTGCCGTGTTGTTTGTGCCGATGGTCGGCGCTCAGTCACTGGATTATCGATTTTTATGCACTGAATCAGGCTTGCAAACTGAGGTGCACTTTCGTTACACGTTCGTCTTGCCTACGCGTGAATGAACTACTTTGGTTGTCATTGCCGGTGGTCTTGGGAGGGAGGCGCAATAAATTTGATACTACAACCCTACCCCTTGTTATACTCGGTTTCCCACAAGGATAACATTGGAAGTTTTTCTTAGAAAGTGGATTTATGGCACTCCACTGAAATCTGTGTGAGAAAGTCTTTACGCTTTTACGTGAAAGACTCCAATACAAGCCTATATAATCTTGGTTACTAGAGTACCGGTTGTTCAAGTTGCACCTAACCGATACCAGAAGTTTTAGAGATACTCGCAAGGTGCATGCGGCACCAATTATGTGACTAGACGGCTGTACGTGGCTTTTGCAGTCTTCTGGACTCGAAGTGCCGCGAACTGGCTTTGATAACCGTGGAATAAAGGAAGGAGTTTTATATTTTTGAAGATAAAAAGTTATCGACTTCGTCCATCCACCTACCTGCTCTCAAGTATGCTGACGAATACAGACGTATCACAAAGACTAATCCGAAAACGATTGTTTAGGCATGTGGTAATTCGTTCTCACTAAATTGCCAAATTTAGCCATGGGTGGTTAGACATGTGTTAACTTTTAATAGTTGACATTTTTACCCCTTCATCCTTATACGCACATACAGATGCTACTACACAAAACGGCCAATTATTGTAGATAAATTATCACTTGTGCCTGCTATCACCTCCTTGACCTTGAGGAAACAGTTGTCATGGTAGTGCAAACTCCAAAAATGATGATGAGCGCGCCAAAATCCCAACCTCGTCAATTTAAACCCTGTATTTGACGGCACATAGCTCTGTGAGTGCTAATCAGAGCCAACGGTATCAGCCATTCACATCCTGCGTGGTTACCAATCCACCCCCAAAATTCTACGATCCGATGCCACATTAACTTGCTAATTTGGCAGAAAAACCTGCCTATAATAATAAACAGTCTAATATTGATAAGTTATCAGAATCGAACAGCGGCTGTCGGATATCGTCCAAGCATTTGCTTCTTCTGAACCGTAAATTATTACGATTTTCAGTCCAGAAGGAAACTTACTGATGAAACACTTCCATGTTATACAACAAGTGGGCTCGCTTGTGCTGCCGAAGGCAAGGTTGAAGAAACATTGTCACCTCGGTGTACTTGGAGGGCCAATCGAATACCACGTCTTTTAACCAATGAAGCACGTACGTCACGGGTCGTAACTTCACCCAGACCCTCGTGAACGAACGCTGGTCCACACATCGAGGAATCTCCCTTGGGATCAAGGGCGGAAACGCCGTGCTGAGGTTTGTCGCGGTGTTCACGGTGTAGACATTGACGAAGAGCCCCTTCGATTTCCCTTCTTGGAGGTAGGGCGAAAGTTGTGTGGGTAACCTTAGCTTGACAACACGGCGAGAAAACAGACGACAAAAAGAGCCAACACAGTTGGTTAAAGCTAGCAGGGCATTGAAATTATGGCCAGTTTAGGGCGGGCATTAGGCAGTCAGTCACGCGATTCACACAAACGTAACGGCGTCTGTATGGTAATGAACACTACACACACGGATTTAGGCTCTAGATCTACTCTGTTTTGCGTAATGATAGGCGCTTCTGATATGTGCACCATGATTCTGTGTTGTCGAATTAAAATAGATCTTGGATGCAAGACGATTGTTTTATTGAAGCAGTCTCATTCTGTAACAACCACGGCCATCCTCTTGGGGACAAATGTTGAGCGATTCAAGTGACTTGATCAACATAAATTGGCTTTTATGTATTTTTGTTTCGCGATAAGGATTAATACTATTGGAATTATTACTAAAGACTGCGCATTCACTATAAAAACGTCTTCCAAGCCAAAAACAAGATTGCGACAAAAAATTACTGATTTTTTTTAAGATAAATCGATAGAACACTTGAAAAAAGACATTCATCTTTTCAAATCAGCTGACTCGTTTAGAAAAATTCTCAAAGATCTGTTGCATTTGCGTAGGAGGATGGTGAAATCGCTAGGTAACTCGTTTAGAATGATAAAACAACGTCATAATTGACCTGCCCATTTGTACTTTAATTTATAAAAATAGATTTGTGCTTCAGTCCTGATGAAACGATCGATAATGCAAGCACTTGGACTAAGATTATCCGTCTGCCTCTTACACAATGAACCTTTAGCCACAGGACGTCTGTAACATTTTCCTTGTTTGTGTTCATTAAAGCGTTGTTTTAATTCTAATTTTCACTGAGCGCCACTTACAATTTGCGCACTACATGAGCAGTTTTCATGTTTAACACTATTTGAACTACAGAATAGCGGCAAACACCCACATTTGTTGCGTACATTCATTAACTCGGATCATTGTCGTAATATTTTTTTAGGCGTAAGCGTATGTGCTGTGGAGCCTTCCAGATCGTCTCCATTTTTCTGTAGCTTCGAGGCGCTAAATCTAGCTTAGTAGCGAAGTTGTTGTAAATGTCAATTTGTTACAACATCGATTAACTAATCAATAAATCAATTTAAGAATAAAAGTACTTACCACAATGTGATTCGCCTGGGTACAATCGTAGACAAAGTTGCACTGGCGTCGCATCTGTTCATCATTAAAAATCGCATCAATTGAGCATTGGTGTATCAGGCTGATTCGATCGTTGACTGCCACGCAGTACTTGGTTGAAGAGTCCTCATTTACCGCTGGTGGCCAACGTATTCTGAGTTTGTTGCTTTACAAAAAGGAGGTAAAATATGCACTGTCAATTAGTTTAAAGCTATGTTCATGGTGGACATGACATTTAAACCGCTCAATCATGTTAACTAAGAAATGCTATTTGTGAATCAGAAGTCGTAAAACGGAGTCTTCACTTTCAATTAAGATATGCTCCTTCAACATTATTAATGTGATAGCACAGACGCGGATTGCGACTGAACTGAAATTCATATGCACCATCAGGATCGTGCGTTTTTTGGAAAAAAGACACGTTTATTAGTTTACAATCACACAGTTGACATACCTATCCACGCCCAAATGACAAACGTCAATTTGAGACGACTTGTACGGCTGTGGTAGGCAGGGGTAGCCCTGATGAGGCTGGTAGCGTTGCGAAATGTTGGCGCTCCACAGCACCCTGAAGGTGGTTCCAGGTTGTCCGTACACCGTCACCACTAGGGTATCCCCAGTGGCACCCCAGCTGGTGAAGTGGAGCCGCGCTGTGCCCGAGCCTCGCAGCCAATTGGGGCCCTTCGAAATGGCCTGAAGCTGGGGGTTCCCGTCCAGTGTTAGCAACTCCACTCGCAGCGGGGGTCGGTACCAAGATCTGCGGCCAAGACCTGGAACAATTTCGCCTAAATCACGCAGGGATAGAGGGTTCTCGAAGGCCCTCCAAACGGGTTTCTGGTTGCATTTAACCAATAAATGCGCACGACCAAGTTTGCCACGAGGTAACGCGAAACCGCGTTTCAAACTACCCATCACAAATACTTCCACGAAAAATGATTCGGGGGTCCACCAGTGCCCTTTAAAGCCAGGCACTTTTGTTTTCAAAATTAATATCACATTCCGTTTGTTTTTACGGTCGAAGTCTATGTAAGAAATTGGGGTTTGCGCGAGAATACTAATTTACACAAAAACGCGACAGGTTTAATGTCCGTTAGGGTGAAAAATCACATTCTTGCATAACTTGCTCCTATTTACAAAGGTGGAGACAGTGTACTTGACTTTGACATTTAAACACTACAAAAACCAGCAAGGCGGCTGCGTTTATGATAAAAATCAGTTGCTAACTACTCATAGGGCCACTGTCAACCTTAGTACAAGTGGATTTTGATGGGCTGCAGTTGTGCGGGACAGGGATTTGCTCTAAGAATCGGGCCTTCAAGTGACCCATGTTTTTTTTGGGGAAATCGATCGCAATTACGTGGACGCGGGCCAAAAGATAGGTTTTACAAATAATTCCAGGCCCGAGTTCTAATAATGCCTCTTTCGGGCATTTTACCAATCATACAACATACCGATACCGAACATTGGAACAGAATGTTTCCGTTAATAGATACAGTTCGTAATAAAATTTGGAGAACTCTGTTTTCGTACACTTTACGATTCACTAGAACCTCGATTTAACGGCCCATCGCCTAATTAGACAAATCTGACCATGTATCTATTTGTACACATTTTGCCCAGCATACCTGCACCAGTCATCAATTAAAGTTTTCTAGATACACTAGTGATGTTCGCATCAGACTGCGGCGAATAACACACACACATGCACGTTTTTGAACCCGCCGCACCTCTATGACCAATGAGCACAAGCGACCTTGAGCGTTTATGCTCACGATGATAAAACTGAGTCGAGCCATTTGAATTGCCATCGCCTCTGGTTACCTGGTCAGCGTGATCTCGATGTGATCTGGACGGAAAGCCTTCGCATGAATTCCGAACCATGACGAACATATCTGAAATTTCATAAATTCTCTTAGCGCTTCAGTTTATCGACAACGAATTCCAAGGCACTATTTTTGAATCAAACCTAATTGATAACTGAAACCGACTTTTGCCAAGAAAGTAAGCAATGAAAATCGTTCAACGAGATTTTCAGTTCCACGGAATCCGCGGAAATCCAATGTGTTCAAACTGACCAGCTTATTGCGCTACTTTGTAGAAGCAACTTGCATGTAAACAGATCATTTGAACGAGATTTGGAGCATGCGCATAATTTGGAGGCAGTCACTCACTCGAACGCCGCGTTCGTGCAGTCCATTTGGTGAAAACCGTCCCATCCCTCACCCATTCATCCTTAACAGTGTTGATCGAGTGAAAGTGGATCGCGTGCAACGGACCCGTGCACGGCGTGATTGTAAAGCCGAACTGCTGGTTCTTGCCAATGAGGTAGAACAGCCTAAATTGGAAGTAGAACAAAGAGTTACCTTTTTGGCATGGAGAACGTTTGCAAAAGAATCACGCGTAGATGGGAGTAGGTTGACAGGGGTCAATTCATTTATGCCCAGTGACTGGTGCTCAGTGCTCGAGTGGGATCATCTCATGTGAAGTCAAAAGTGGGAACTTCGTCCAGGTATTAATCGAATGAGTATCCGATCTGCAAGCGTGGTGCATAAAGTCTTAAATTGAACATCAGCCTACAGCTTGAACATTCTTTGCAAAGGAAGCCTTGAGGCGTGTGAACTAGCACAATAGATCGGTAAATACAACCAAAAAATTCCACTGTCCTATCTACCAACGCGTCTCTCGCATCCACTTGACCCCAATACAGACCACGATCAGCCAAAACATGCACGTAGCTATGGTTACTGATTCTGGGTCTGAATTCTCGTCATCTTCCCAACGGCTTGCTTGCACCAAACATAGCCAACCATCAATCATTCAGAATTTTACCAGAAAAGCACACAGTTTCCTGTAAACAGACTACACCTGCTGTATATTTACAAAAATGCTGACTTGGTGCATTTTTGTGGCGATTTCTTATCACGTGCTTCAAGATCCCCTAGTGATGACATGAAAAATCCTATTCAACTTGAGCTGTACGATTGCTCTGGATTGTTACTACAACTAACTGTAGAAATTGAGCACTTAGGGGTGCACAGTTAGTGTTTTACAACTTCTAGGAGTTAAAGTAGGAAGGTACTTATGGGGTTAGTAATTGCGACTTTTAGTGATCGTTAGAACCGTGCCAAACATGCATCAAAACGGCTGTGTAAACAGAAAAGTACATTTTTCTCCCAAATAGAATTTAGGGATATATTGAGCAGGGTGTCGCTAATCGAGATAGAGAATCGATTTTGATTTCAAAAAGCCGTCAGAAGTCCACGTGGATCGTTACATTTTCCGAGTCATTGAAGCGGTAGTACCTACTCATTTACGTCCAGTTACATGAAACGAGAATTTAAAAAATGCACTAAAGACATCTCAAGCTATCAGTTGAAAATCAATAAATGATACTTTGAAATGTAACCTTGGTTGCTGTGGCTTAAACCTTGGCAGATCTTGATAAAAACGATACCTAGGACAGGACCACAGCGGGATCATCACCCCAAATACTAGAAACCAAGGTTATCAACAAACTCAAGCTTGTCTAGGTCTCAATAAAGCGAAAAGAGAAATGAAAGCATCTGGTGGAAATTTGTCGTAATTCCCGGATAGTCCTTATTGATCTACTTGTCCAGTGACTTAGCAGAGCAAAATGGACAAATCAGTGGGTTTAGATGGTAATTAGATGCATCGATAAGTCTACAATAAGCTGATATCACATGTGTTATTCAATACCTTAAGTACGTGAGCCTTGATTAATGCTAGCCAAGAGGGAAAATCGCCACATCATCATCAGTATTAGCAATGATAATGGCAGTCTCTATCAGCAAAGACTGCTTCTACTTTCTCAGTTTTACTTCCCTTCAAAGATCTAGGCGCCTCTGAAGCTTGCAAGTAACTTCCTAGATTGAGGATCGTAAACAGAGGTTGTGTACGTGATCTGGGTACATTTTAGAAACTCTCACGTAACTGGTACAAGCAGAATGTGTTTGGCAGACTGCATCATTTCCGACATTTGGTTATCCGGCTCTGCAGATTCAGGCAGCTGTCGGAATTTCGTCTGTAGCTATACCAAGTCGCCTATTACCACCGTATAAGAGGTAATCTTATCATAAAATCATAAGTTATACAACATACTGCCAGACAAAATCGGGTGTCATTGTTTCAAGAAGTCTGTTTGTCCCAGAAGCAGCATCCAAGCTGTTGCAGAAGCTAGAAACGGTTTAATGGAAAAAGATGATCCTGGTGGAAAACTAGTTTTTGGCAGTATTATACCGTTATAATTCATGCTCGTTAACTCTGTCGCCAAAACTAATCGAAGGGGCATTTACAAGACCACGTTTACAGGGAGATTTCGCTGCCATGTCTGCCAGCGTTTCCCTTTCACCCGTTTGACCCCCCACAATGTGGTTAGGTCGGCCTTGACCAATCGTAAGAACCTTCATCTTTCCAGCATCCCATGTACCTCTTCTGCGATCGGCAACATTCACGAGCTTCTACATAAACGGGTTCAGCCGAACGCCATTGGTCAGCAATCGTCGTTGGTCTTGTCACATTTGAGACGACCTTGAGTGCACACATTAAAATGACGTGTATTCGCCATGTACGATCACCTACATCTACCTAGTTTAATCCGGGCCACCAAATTGAGCTCCAGCAAAAAAAAAATAACTAACCCATATCAGTTAGAAGCTATTTTCTACAATATGGTTCAAGTGTGGCACGTCTATAGCTATTGTCTTCACTGAAACTTCTACCTAAATGTATCATGTTTCAACGGCAATGCCTTTTTTTTAAGTACACACTTGGAGTTTATTGCTCCTTAATTTACAAGCTTTGCTGCGAGACCTAATCTGCGCCATCATTGAACATTTTAGCACATAGCCATTCGCCGGAATTCTCGCAATGTGGCTCGGTGGTTAACGTCAAATGACGGGTAAATATCATTTCTGCCCAGAAATGTGCGAACCCATTTTATTAGCTTATATCAGTCAGTCGTGCGGCTTTATGGCACGATAATGCGACATAAGTTCCACACTTTGGGGGAACTGGGTTGCCTCGAACCCGGATCAAAAAACCGCGCTAGCTTTTGGCGCATTTAAACAACGCACGCTGCACTTGAATGTTCGTGCCTGGCACGAGGCCTCTACGAACCGAAATGCGCGTTTTTGGAAACCAATTACCTGATTTTTGTCAATAAACAGTTTCGCAGTAAATTTCAGTTTAATTTTGTTGCTTCCTTCCGTCGTAATGCTAACGCCTTCCCACGCTTAATCAGGATTTATGACCGATGGGTCTAAAGTGCGCCTCTCTAGGCGGGGTGATTTACTACCACACGCCGGTGTACTTGTCTAGTTTTAATGACACTTCAGACTAATGCGCCACCTGAAACCGGCATTCCTGTTCATTTGAAGAGTAAAAGCACCTCTTCTAAACTTTTAAATTCAACAAAAAATCGCTATAAAATCAATTTAGACGATAAGTTTTTGTTCACAAGGCATAAAACCATGCACTTGGCATTAAATCACCCATAACAAGCCTATAAACATCGGAGCTTTAAACCTAACAGCTGTTTTGGATTCCTTGTTGAAATGAATTCCACCCGTTACAATACACGCAACCACGTGTCATAGCAACAATAACCTTGTTACAAGGTGGCTGTTCAGAAAGCGGTTTCAGTGAATTTTAGAGTTGACTTTACTCATGTCTGGAACCATCACTTCCACTCAGACAGGCCCCCTGTACGACCTCTTTTTTCAAACCAAATGATCTTTCAGACATAAATGCGAACAATGACTCGGATCACTAACGCCACAAAGGATCAGGAGTACAGGAATCACTAAAATACAGCAATAACAACAAACCAGAGAAGAATCTAGTAAAAGGTAAGACGCAAAACTGAAAGCGTGACGAGTCACTGATATCAGGATGAGCAGCGGGCAAAACTTGCAAGGACATGAAGGGTAATTGCACGACCTACCGGATGATTCTCTTAGCTTCTGGCAGCAGCGTTGAAAGTTAACGCTATTTACTAATATGCTCTGGGTTGCCAGGATCTTGACTGGTTTCACATTAGCGTGGAGCATTTACAGGCTTTTCAAAGTGTGTTCTTTTTCACCAGAAGGCAATCAAATTTATGTTTATAAATGTTGCTTAGAATTCGTTGAGTGTTATTTCAAGCACCTAACAAAGCTCAATCTTATTCGCCTTGAATCATGAAAAAAGGGCTTGAAACAGCAAAACCGGCTTTGTGACACCAGGAAATCGTTGAATTAAAGCAAAGACGTCAGGAGAAATTAAGCAATGTAAATGGTATCACTAACTTTTTGCAACTAGCGCCCCGATTAATCTTCACACTTAGTTCCATCCCATCGAGGTAGCTGGCCACAATCATGCCCTTTTCCAGCAGCTCGTTTCCGATTCCATGCAGACGCTGTCTGTTCCACAGGTCGTGTCGGTCCGCCGTCACGGTGGCGTCGACGGAGACTGGAAGGAGGAGGAGGAGAAACGGCACGAAGAGTAGCATGAGGAAAGGTGGCAGGACAAGTGAAATCGGACCGGCGACCGGCTTGGGTCTTAAATAGCCTCGTGTGTGCGGCGTGCTACCCAGTGCGTGCATGCGATCGGTATGCGGCAGTGCCTTTCACAAACCACTGCGGGAACGCCATCGTTCCCTCGACGGGGCTGATCGTAAAAGGTCAAATTTACTGCGACTTAAAGTCTACTTGTTTGTATTGTTAAAGTCACCTGCCTTGCGCTGTGTGACTGCTTTACGTGTGTTCGTTAACTTCACGAGTTTTATAATGGAGAAATAGATTTCAAAACTGACAAAATTCTAGGTTCTTGCGCATTACTAAAATGAGTTGAAATTAGCAATTACGCTTTTGGATTCTTGAGGTAAGTAGGCGTAAAAGTAGTGTACTAAATGTACCATAAATCACACGAATACAGTTTCGTATGAGGCCTACAGCGAACTAGAATTTTATGACAGTACGATGGCACAAGGAGTTATATCAGTGCAACAATTTACTCAATTAATATTCCCCCGTGGCACAGTCAAAGCACCCAGTTTTGATGCTTAAGTATCATAAACAGCAGTTTGATTCGCACCTTCTTCCAAAGCCAAATCATGTGCAATTTTGTTCATATTTGTTTGTCTAGTTTCTGTTTTAACAAGCAGCGCTAAAATATCAAAATGCCCCTCAAAATACTTCATTTACGTTTCCATAAAGCCGAGGGAGCGTTCAACGTCATATATGATGCGTGTGGTGTTGGTGTTTTAACAGAACACACTTGCTAGAATTGGCATAAAAGGTTCTTTCTTGCTGTCTCATTATTCAGCTAAGAGTAGCTTCGTTTAGACCAGGATTAATTCGGGTCTCTGTGATAATTACAGAAAAGTTAAATGAGTCAATTGAAAGTGATGTAAAGTGTCCAGGAATCTTGGATTCAAAGTAACCTGCTTAATTCGCCAAGTCTGTGTAGTCGAAATATTTTCCCTACGCCCAGTAATCAATTAATTGTGTTGATGGGGGATAAACGCGTCATAGACAAACCGGGAATCGATAAAATTCGCTTATATTATGCTTGAAAATGGCAAGAGGCACATTTAATAGTTGTATTACTGTATTAATTTTACTACTCTTTTGATTGAAAGTACTTGGAAGCAACTATAAACACATTTTGCAGCAGGTCATAAATCGATTTCCAACGAGCAGCAAACCTCTACGAGTGATTAGGATCCGAATTTCCGGAGGCGAAAAAGTTTGATTTTTTGAAGATGATATTTCGCTTTTCATTTTATGCATTCGGTAGATAAAGCCAATTATTGCATACATTTTAGACTTGCGCCCTAACGTACGCAATAGGTCAGGTCAAACGTCAGCTGCGCAATATCGATTTTTTTAGTCACGCGCCCCAGTTTCAGCATAATTTTTGGGTGCTGTAAAAAACCGCCATTGTAGCTGCAATTTTCCTCTTTTGTCACACACGTTTTGTCAAGTATTGGTCTAATTCCATCTCGGGGGTCATAATGACTGACTAAGTAGATAAATGACTTAAACAATACCAGTTAATTTGTCAGTTCGTCTTGGAGCCACATGACCTTTAGATTTTTGCACTATAATGCCACTGATTGGCATTATTACGATGCCAAATATTATTTTATAACTCACTCAATTTGTAAACTAACTTGTTGTGTGCTCATTGGTTTTCAGAATTCTCCTCATCACGATTAACTAGGTAATTGATCTAGTTTTGATTTCAAAGCTACTGATTAAAATTAGCATTTGCAGTTGTTGCCTTCGCGTAATTTAAAGAGAACTTTTTGATCCACAAATCTAACCAAACATGATTCAATAGTTTTACCGGCCCCAACTGTTGCTTTACTCAATTCGAAAAATTTAAGATAGACGCTTTTTGTACTAACGTTACACAATTTTTTCCTCCCTGTTTGTTATTCGTTTATTCAACTGATTCAGCCTTGTCAAAGGGTCTTTGCTAAATATTAGTCAAGATATTTTTTGCATCATAAAACGTGACCGCAAAAAAAATTATTTCTTTCAGCGAAAAATCTGGTACAGCTATCTTAATCAGCATTTCTCAAACATTTTATTTTTGTAAAAAAAAGGTTAGTCTACTTTTGTGGTACTTCGAAAATCTTTGGGACTGGTATAATAACCTACCAACCACACACTGAAAAAAAAATAAACTTTACCTCGAACAGAACAATCCAAATGCACAAATACATGAACATCCCCACCAAAACCGTGGTTATAGGTATGCTAGCTGCTGAGCCATCAATTAGTGGTCAGAAGAATTTTCGGTAAATTAATTTGGCTTTACAAATATCGGTTAAATTGAACATCATTGTGATCATCAGGTTGAAAACGTGTCAAATTTAAAATGTGAAATTACGACTGCTCAATTAAAAAAATGTGACTTGATGAAAAAGGCAGTCTGATTTCGAAAACAAATTTTTAAATTCAATGTAAATAATATTTTGAAGACCAGGTTATTTGTTTAAATTTTTTTGGTAGACCGAGGATAATATGCTGACTGACCAACTAGCAACGGGCGAATTAGATGCGCATGATTTCATTCGCCTTCACTCAAAGGACCAATCAGGCTTTGATTTACGGACTCAATTCTCCCTATTGGTCGATAATCATCAATCAGATTTCTCTGTTTTGAACTTCACTAATTCGCACTTGGGGCTATGAAATTCATTGGCTAAATCTTTCGTAAATGTAAATTAAAACATCATAGATTCCATAAATGAACTTCTAACCATGCAAGTCTTGTAGAGCGGACTGAGACGGTAACAAAATCAACATCTACAGAGCGTTCTTCGGTCTTTTTAAACTCTCATGGAATCAACGAAGTTCTGTACGCAAGCTTTTATTTTCGCTTTCCGTCTTCTGATGTATTTAAAATGTATTAAAAATAACCTATTCTAAAAAAGACTTTAAAATGATTTTGGTGATTGTGACCATGACAAAACAGCATTGAAATACGCTCCAAACGTTGTATTGGCACATAAGTGATCTAACTTGAAAAGGTCCAACAATTTCATACTTTGCATCAACTTTTCAAACAGGTTTTTAAGGAGAATGTTAAAGTGCACAGCCGGCAACGGTTACAACGCGGTGATTGGGCAGACCTCACGGTAAACAGCCAATGATATCAAGCTGGTAAAATATAAGTAAAATTAACAAATGGGTTTTTTTTCGTTAAACTTCATGAACCAAACAAACCTTCTACAAGACCGATGCTCTACTTTTTTAAAATCCAAACAATGACAATGCCGACCGAAATTCATCACACAAAAGTCAGACCTTTCAGTTATCAGGACATTGGTTTAGATGCTGTCAATGATCAACATGCCTACTTGAACTGCATTCAAAATTGTTCGCGAATTTTCGTACCGGGTGTTGCGTTTGCCCGTAACCACGAGAAAACCACTCAGGTAAAACGGTACCAGATCCCATGTTGACGCTAGAACCGGCCTTCTCACGCTAATGCGAGAACAAGACCAGAGCTCGTGCAGAAAGCTTTAGTTGTCCAAAGTGAAACTAATTCAAGTCAAGGTTGACCTTGACATGATGGATCAAAGTGAATTAACACGGAAGTGATTGTTAGTAGGATGAGGTGGATGACTCACCCACTGATGTGGCGTGGTTAGTGGATTCGTGCAAACAACGACGAAAACGGCGATGAGCCACCTTGGGGTAATACCAGAGCCTCAGCACCGGGCATGCGCAACTGCAAATGCGATCGATTTGTTACTTTGATTATTGGAATTCCGTAGTGGCTTTCCTTTAGCGATTTGAATGTCCGTATGTTTTAATCTTGGGTTAAGCGAATGCACATATTACGTCATCGTAATGTGCTTACAAATACCTTAGCTAGGCTCCGATCGCAGTGTTGTGATTAACGATATTATTGACTTGAAAATCAGGGTGTTAATTTTCTCCTGAAATAATACTTGACTAGTCGATTTCCACTGAAGCCTTCTCTGTTAATGCAAATTATTTCCAAGTAACTTGGACTACTTAAGTAGTACCAATGTCATGGCAATTTGAAGGTCAGTATGGTCCGCTTACTTTGGCTCGGCATTCATGCCGGAATAAATAGCTCCACTTCGATGAGTTCGAGCACTTGAATTATTCGCTAAGGAAAGTGTTACTGCGCGAAGTAGTCGAAACTGCAGCATTACCAGTTCATTTAGCCCAGAATTAACCTCTTTGCTTCTGGCCAACTCTGCAAGAACTTCAGTGTACGTGAACTAAAAGTGTGATCGAAGGTCAAAATCGGTCTTCGTTTTTTGTCGACATTGAGCCTTGTGTGATTGAAAAACTAGGAACGGATACTGAAGAAATGAGATCTACCACAACTCACTGGTGGGGCAAGTGCAATGACGTAAGAGGGGGTGGACATATTGGATGACTACAAGAATAGCCTATCCCCTGTCTTTGTGTGTTTGATTGGCCTGCGAGGACGACCTGCAGCCAACCAAGGACAAGGATGAGTGAGCAGCGGTATATAATGAGCGGTGGACTCAGATAAATGGCTTCTAACGCACTATCCTGGCTTTTGATTGGCCAATAAAGCTTGCCTGTTTTACCAGTCTTCTTCAAGTTTGGGCTCTGGTTTTCTACAAAAAAAAAATGGCCAACGACAGAAACCACTCCGACCTCGAGCAATTTGTTGTCGCTCACGAGAGGCATTGATGAAGGTCTTGCTTTGAACATCAACCCAAATAAAGTATCCGAGGCACCTTTCCACCACCCAAAAACTCCTATACATCTTGAACCACACCGGCGCCAAACGGCCTACAAGGATAATGTTGGCTCAACCAAGAAATAGCGGGGGCCATATTTAACGCGCACTCCAACGAGTTAGTGTCCAGTAGTAGCTTGGTATGGGGGGGTGTGCTCATAGCGTGAAAAAAGTCTTTGTACGCAGAAGAGCTTAACACCGACGTCTGAACGAGCATCGTTAACGTGAAGTGCAATTAAGATTGTAACGCTCCTACTGAGCGGGGACCTAAATAGGGAGATGACTGTTAGCCCGTCCCTCTTAGATAGCCACACCATCACGGTTAGCTACCAGAATAACTGGAAGAACCGGATGTATTCCATACTAACGCATGCAATCTCAGAGGGCTAGAGCTTAGGGAGGGTTAGAGTGGGGAAAGAGATGGCCGCGAGGAGGGTTGGTGTTGCCCTCGGACTCACGGGCGTGTCTTGAGGAAGGCGAGAGTGCGGGAAGGGAGAGGAGGACAAAGAACAGGCCAGACCGGCGTGCGTGGGTCGAATGGCTCGCGCCACAAGATAGCATGTTGAATCCGCGCTCGCTCGCCGATCGCCACACATTAACTCATTTAAACAAGAGGAAGTACAGAAAGCAGCAAAAAAGAAACAGGGTGAAACAAGTATTACCTGGGTAAAATCAAGTCAGAGACACATTTTAATGCATAGCAGTTGTTTCATGTCTGGCAAGAAAGCATTGTCGGATTTCACGGGTAATTCGAGTTAGAATTGTCTTGCAGGGACTACTGTCAGCGGCGTGATTTTGTCCTCATAAAATTTGTTAAATGCGACATTTTTTCGGTTCTTTAGATACCAATTGCGTGAGGATTATTTTCATTTTGCTGTCCTTAGCTCGGTTTTAACAAACAGTCCAAAAAATCAACTTTTTCCGTAAATTTATTTTTGACTTTTCCGTAAAGCCAAGAAGGCAGTCAAAGTTATGCATACGGCGCTTACGATGTCGACTTCTCAACAGAATCTGACTGTTTTGATGGCTCACGACGTCGTTTTTACCAGTCTACTAATTCACAACATGTCCAAATACGGCATCATGAAAGCCTGATTTTCGTGTATTTAATAAATATAAGCAATTTGCCCAACATACCAAAGCACGACTTGAGACATCTACCTCCAACGCAAAGAAATCGCCCAATTATTGCAGTCACACACCAGTGGTAAACACAGATGCATTGACTGAAATATCATCTTGTTGTGGACCCCAGCGTGCAGTCTTGAACCACGCCGGGACCACGGAATTACCCTTGGCCCGATTACGTTACCCTGATACCCACAATGAAGAACATGGACATGGACACAACCGTTTACTTCAGAGCTCAGCCACATTGGTGTCGTTGTGTCGGGTGTGGGATTTACACGTGTGTATTTATACCTCAGATGTGTGAGTCATACATGCGCTAGCATCGAGACCTATGTGTGGGGATACTCCAAGATAAATATCCGTGTGAATGAGGGGGGAGTTGAGGATCCACGAGGCTGGCGACATGCTGCGAAAAGGGGAACCCTGTGTCGGAGGTGGAGCGACCGAATTAAGGGGTATGAATAGACAGGATTCACAACAATCTGCATGGATCAGCACAATCCAGTTTAAAATGCATGTTTTATCAAGCAGGGCAATGTGGAAGTTGCTTTCAGTGAACCGACCAATCAAACTGATCATTTACGGTCAACAAATGCTTAAAGTCCATTCATCCAAAACTGTTTTAATTCTGCTTAATTACCAAATTGTTACTTGAAAACCCTACAGAAGATTGTGCTGCATCACATGCCTGCCGCGTGTGCAAGGTACCACCGCATTTGCAATAATTCGATGTGTTTTCAGGTGCTAGTTGCGTGTCTGCACCTCAAGTACCACTGCAAAGCCCGCGTGAGGCCCGTCACTTGCAGCTCAAAGCTAGTGAATCAACCTAATTGGTTTGCCAGCAACCAGCAGCCTCAGGAACACTTTGCAGAACAACAATTGAACTTAATGGTTTGGACCAACCCTACTTATTTGCAAGCAGTAGAAGGCTGCTCAATATTGACCTGGCAATTCCAGATAACTTGTACTGAGGATAGCTGTGGTTGGTCAAACAAAATCGCGAAGTAACAGCCTGGATAGGCATTACCGCAGGACCCTGACATGGCGGTGACTTCAGTGCACGACATGGTGAAAGGAGAGTGCGTGACTTACGTCGGACGCAAGGAACGTTTCCATCGTTGGATTTCGTGGAATCCAGCATCTGCACCCAGGAACCACGTCAATGCGTAATTTGGCCCTTGTGCCTTGGATTGTGGCGCACAAAAGCATTTCATACAAATCTTGTCTTTTAAGGACTTCACGTAGTGAAGCCGCCTGGCTCCACACCTAGACTTATTTAGGGTTAAATTACTATTTATTCGCTAGGGTGTGCCAGACTTGGCATTGCTGCTGCCGGTGTGCTTTGCGATGCCAAAAATTCAACTATGCAAGGACGCTTCTGGCTACGTTCACACCGTTTTTTTCACATTGCGAGTGGAGTTGTAATCATTCCATTTTGGATATAACTCGTTCTATACTTAAATGGCGATTCCACACAATCAAACCCCACGGGAGAGCAAATCAACGCAAAATATTCCCTGCCCTTATTTCAAATTTAATCTAACGTCAGTTTTGGTTGGTTAGGTTTGAATTTCGGGAATCCAAATAAACAAACCGCTGTACTTACGTACAGGCAATTGTGGTACCCATGGGAAAAGTGAGTTCACTACAAACATCACTCTGGATGTGAGTTCTAGTCGTCGGCAATACCTTGCATATCCTGTGATATCCAATAGGAAAACTGCTGGCATCCATCGATCGATCGATCGATCCATCCACCAACTAGAAAACTGCCCCAGGACCATTCTGTTGTGGTGTATTAGAATTGTTGACATGTTTTAAGTTACCAGGGGCAGCCAAATTTAAAAGTGGGAAGCTTGGGCAAGCGAAATGACGAGATCGTGCGAGTGGTCGACGAGGTAGCTGTAACTGTTGCCCAACGTTAAGAGGCCAGATCTAATCACTTGTTCGGTTTGATGACTCACTGCCAAGCGACAAGACCACAAGTTCTAGAGTTTCCCATGTTTGATGTGTGAATAAATGTGAACTCGAGTAAGTGGGTTTCCAAACGAATTTAGCATCATGTTTCGATCTGAGAAAGTCAGTTAAATCTCAAAATAGTGGAGAACCAGTACATGATTTAAAAAAAGCTGCTTTAAGAAATAATACTTAGTAAAACACAGAACCCCAGTCTCGGATGATTCAATTGCTTCGTTTGAAATACAAAAAAAACTGAGAAGGGAATTATTTACGATATATGAGATTTAAATTCAACAGGAATGGTCAATCGGGACCAAACAATAAAGGACTACTTAAATCTAAGATCTTTTTCTAGATTCGTTAAACCTATGCAAAACACCTGCGCAGAAAACCCTACGATTAGATGACGTCGATTCGTTCTTAATATTCTCACGAATCGTTGTCATAGGCACACACTTAAAAGAAGAGTCAGGTGTCATCTGCTAGCCAATCACAGTTTCCTGGCACTGACTAGTTAGATACGCAGTATAAATTTCAACAACCTGACGCAAACGCAAGTAGCGACAGTGGGGCACACTATGAACGCAGGTGACTCAGTACCGATTGTAATCGATAATGGATCTGGCCTCAGCAAATCGGGTTTTGCTGGGGAGGACGCTCCTCGATCAGTAATCCCTTCAATCATTGGTCGGCCCAAGTACGAGTCTGTGATTACCGCCATGGCTGAAAAAAATACCTACATTGGTGACGAGGCTCAGACAAAACGAGGCATGCTGTCCCTAAAGCACCCCATAGAGCACGGATTCGTAAATAACTGGGAAGACATGGAGAAACTTTGGAATCAGATCTTCTTTACTGAACTCCGCGTGGCTCCTGAAGAGCATCCAGTCCTCCTGACAGATCCACCTCTCAATCCCAAGGCGAATCGTGAACGCATAACGACAATCATGTTCGAGACCTTCAACGTACCCGCGATGTACATTGCTCTGCAGGCTGTTCTAGCGCTCCACGCCTCAGGCAGAATGACAGGTCTTGTGCTAGATTCTGGCGACGGCGCGACACACACCATCCCCGTCTACGAGGGCTACGGAATCACCTCGGCAATCGAGAGGCTTGATTTAGCCGGTCGTGAGGTCACTGAATACCTCATGAGACTGCTTCGTGGACGCGGGATAGCTTTTCGTACCACGTCTGAACGCGAAGTCGTCCGCGAAATCAAAGAGCGTCTCGCATACGTCGCCATAGACTATGATGACGAGTTACTCAAGGCTGGGACTACATGTGACTTGGAAAAGAGCTATGAGCTACCAGACGGCAATGTAATTAGACTGGGCAGTGAGCGTTTTCAGTGCGCGGAAGCTCTCCTGCGGCCATCGCTCATTGGGATGGAGGGTCCCGGGATTGCAGAATCGGCCTTCCAGACTATCGGTCGGACTGATTTGAGCACAAGGCGAGACCTCTACGACAACATCGTTCTCTCCGGGGGCTCCACCATGTTCCCTGGAATGCAAGACCGTCTGAAAAAGGAAATTACTAATATGGCGCCTCCATCAGCACGCGTTCGAATAGTTGCGCAGCCGGAAAGGAAGTACTGTGTTTGGATTGGTGGGTCGATTCTGGGATCGCTCTCCTCATTCAGCAAGATATGGATCTCTAAGGATGAATACGACGAGGTTGGACCTGGTATTGTTCACAAAAAGTGTATTTAATGTATTTGAAATTGGTTTTTTTTTAATTGATATGATTTGCAAATAAAGGTTATTTGACGCAAAACGCGGTAGTTTGTTCCAAATCAAGTCATTATCACACAAGACCAACAGGAAATTTTGTGTGCTCATTAACAACGAGTGAAGGCGCTTTTGCAATTCGAAAGCAATGTGTTGACAAGAAAGCGATTTGGGTTTTGATTGACACTTCGCGTAAGAATTGTTTTTTAGTACAAGTGTCGACTGTTTGATTTTCTCCTTTTAACAATTGTTAGATGGGTCACACCCAACTTCTCAAAAGGCAAATTGTGGGCAATTTGTTCACAGCTGTTAGTTTAGTTCTGTTTTAAACAAGAAGTGCAGAAAACTGACATTTTCTACATTATTTTGAATTTGGGTTTCCGTGAGACCAAGAATACAAACAAATATATGCGTGTTGCTCATGGTATTGGTTTCTTGAAAGCACACCCCTGTCTGAAGTGGCTTAGAACTTCGACTATGCTGAGTCACTATTTAGACTGGAGTAACTTCGTCCAGATCAGCCTACAAAAAAGTGACTGTTGATAATATAAACGTCTTGATTGATTCGGATCGCGACCATGATAACAAAAAAGTTGAATAGAGTCAACTTGGAATGATGTAAGGTGTCACGGACTCTCGAAATCAAATCTGCGTCATCGAAGTCTTCTTCGTACGTGATCATTTTATCGATTTTTTTGAAACGACTCACCACTGGTGCCGAAAATTCCCGAGGGCTGGATCATGATCTGCCTGTGTTGAATGACATTTAAGGTTGATTAGCAGAGAGGAGACGCGTGCCACGACCGACTAGTGACACAGGCTAAGGTAGCAGTCGAGTAAACCAACACAGGCATAATTGGCACAACGCAAGAAAATGGTGCACCATTGAGGCAACGTAGTGACTCATGCCCACACATTTTGTGACTCGTGGAACATGATTGGTGCCACTAGCACCATCAGGCTGACAACACTAATGCTGGGGACATGAGATTACATTTGGTTCACTTGTTGCTCATTGGCTGCACAAAGGTTGTGCGAGTTTATTGGTGCCAAATTTCTCATCCAAAAACCGGAATTAATCTGCTTCCAGTGTGTTTGTTTGCTTAACTTTCATGTAGGTTTATTTTAAGCACGGTGAAATGCTTTATCTAAATACGCCATGGAATGTTTGATGCTGTCAAAATACGATAAAAGTTAGAGATAATCAATTTAGCGTAGCATAATTTGTTTAAAGGTACTGCTGACCACCGTTTATTGATTAGGTATTGCCACAAAGAACTCAAAAATAAATATTCTGCAATTGAGGATAGTTTGAAGAGATCTTTTGCATTTGCTTTTAAGTTGGTTAACAAGACGTTTCTGCATGGGTTTAACTTATCTTCTCAAAAACCACACCGTAAATACACATTTCGTGGTGCGGTGGGCTGATGCGAATCGATCAATCACAAAGGTTGCTAATTAGGCTCGTTAAGGTCTTACAATGCATTGGGTGATGTACTTGCTTCATTGATAACTGGGTGTGTCTGTGTGTGTGTGTGTGAGTATTTAGCAGTGTCAGTGTGGTAAAGGTTGAGCTAGGCGACAAACGTGATTGTCGCTGCATCCACATAAAAAACTTTCACGTCAAGGAAAATAAACTATGTGAACTCTGATTCGGAATTGTTTGTAAGCGTTACCAATCAACTTTTAAATAGGCTGCGTGATATAGAGCTACCGACAACAGAGGTTTCAGGTCGCTGTCAATATTTATTTCTGGACAATTCAACAATCAGAATGTTGCGAGCAGCAAGCGAGCACAGCTGACAATCGTGGGCGAACGCAGCGTGAAAGCGCGAGCGAACACAGTTCAATCGATTTTTTGTGAATGCAATTCACGTAACTGTGTCCGTTAATGGATCGATGCTTAGCGAAGCTATATAAACGCGCTTGTTATCCCGTACACACCACCGCCGCTGCTGCATCAATACATAAGCTGAACTGGTATGGTTATCTAACCGCATTAAAGCCTGCTACAAGATAAAAGGGTATGGCTGAAAGGAACTTGGAAAGACTGCCGTTGTTCGCACTGAATGCCCTTGTGCTTTGTGCTCTGCACGCAAGCAATTTTAATAGCTCCCCAGAGGAGCATTAAATAACATTCAAGCAAACCCAATAGCGGTCCATTTATTAACCTTGATTATGGTATAGGTCCGTTCTGTTCCACTTGAATCGTATTTCTCTCGAACTCAAAGATGTAATTAAAGGTGTTTTTTAAGACTATTTAAGGCAGTGTACGATCGCAGTAATCCCCTGTGGTGGTTATAGTTCTAACGGTTCCACAAACGAGCCTAACAGCCAAGACTCATTCAAGAGGATTGACGTCGAAAGTTGTTGTAAGGATGAATATGATGAGAGGCTAGTACCAGCCTACCGATAGATTTACAAGGGTATTTGACTCATCCCAACATTTGTGGTGACTAGGACGAAGAGGTCTCAAGATAAGCGTCTGCTATCCTCCTTCCTTGTTATGCGAATGAGTTCATTCTGAGTAATGCTACCAATTTATAGCTTCAGAGGTCTGAAGAGCATTTTCAAAAGAGAAGAAGTTTCACGGGAAATTTACATGAAATCTCGTGTATTGCTAGAAACTGATGATTTTTTTACAGAACAAAGTAAACTTGCACGCACGTTTGGGCCTTGTCTGATCGTCCCCTTCGGATTTCCATTCTTACCAACTCAACACCAGTCGTCTTTTAAATTAAGAATAAGTGTGAGCCTTTACTCAATAACTACAATTTGTGGAATTTTTCTCACAAAAAGTCACAGGAACGTAAACAGACAGAACTAAGAGGGTTAACTGCAAAAAGTGACGCAAACCAAATATTTTTTTCATGGAAAATTCGGCACCAAAAATATAGACATCATGTAAAATGTGTAAATTTTGAAATCAGCTAGGCTGTTGTCAAATAGCATCCCTGCCGGAACGTCTTTTTTTGGTTAAAGGCACAAGATTTAGTTTAATTTGCACCAAGACACTTCCTATCTGGGTCGACGATCAGGGGTCAAATTTTTCCGGAAACAGCCGAGTTTGCTCACAAGGTCAAACGTATTTAAGTGTAGCATGTAGATTGCATTGATCATTGTAGATACGCTAGCTTTCAAAACCGTGATTTTTCGTAACATTTAGACCCTCCGCCGAGTAAAAGTCCAAAACTTTGCAAAATAAAAATGACTTTCATGAAGTCAAAACAAGAATTTTCAGATGAATTACTGGAATCTCTGATTTTTAAAATAATCTTTTTAATAAAAAATCTGGTTAGAATGAAGCCAAACGCACTCTCTGAGCTTATCGGCCTTTCTAAACGGGCAAGTGTTTACATTGGTGGGATTGTTTTTTTTTTTGAGAAAAACAGCCAATCGATTGTAGTCGTGGTTGCATGACGATAAAAATGCGCACTTCAGGCTCACGAGCAGCTCGTGAATAACTTTGCGTTTGGCGACTGCCCACCGCCCTCCCAACCCCAAATCCCCATTTCCCACTCGAACTCACTCCGGCCGGCCAATGAGAGCGCGCCGTCGCCACCACGACAAGTGCAACCAGATGCGATATGAAAATGTCACTCGCGCCGACAGAACCTGATGCGCGTCGTGGGAAACCTGCGCCTCCTTGGTCTGTGTCTGTGCCTCGCTGCAACCCCATGCACCCTGTCTGCAGACGACCAGACGCGGTCGAAACGGCAAATCACCAAGCCACAGTACCTCGTTGGTGAGCTTGCTTGACTGTTGTGTGCTTGGGAAGAGTCTTTTCGCATGCCCCTTACACCCGATTAGATGATCTCGTTTGTCTTCAGAGTTCCGTTACGCATCTCGGACGATTACGTGAAGTCGTGTTGATAAGCAAACACCTAGCTAGGGCTTGCGTCTTCGTAGAACACATCAAATGGCTTAATATCGCCATAAACATTGGATGAAAACGAGCAGCAATCTTTCTTGAATGTGTGGTCAGTCGAGCTTATGTGAGATGTAATCGGTCATCTGTGTTCTGACCGACCAGAGAAATTCTTAAACAACAGAGTCGCCTATTTTTACCTTACATCCAATCAAACCCGGGCCTTATTCGGTGGATCGTGAACACCCTTGACCAGAATTAATTTGTTTTAAAGGTAGAATCGCTGGAATCGCTAGATTTAAACGACCTTTTATTGCGGACCGAATATCAGGATTGATAACTTTTTTAAAAACAGACCATCTTTTATTAAAGCAGGGCAATTATTTTGACGAAAAAGCCGTAAGTTTTTCTACTTCTGCAGCGTTTCTGAAATTCAAAATATCCAGACTGTCCTCAGAAACCGCATTCTAACTGATTGGTCGACTAGTCACCTAGACGATGTCATCTACTTAGAAGAGGGAGGGTATTTGAGGCGTGGGCACTAGCTTCTTCTTTCTCTGCTTTTCAAAGGCGCGGTCTTCCAAATGAACGAGCGGAATTCCTCGGAATACAGAACCTTCAGGAGCTATCCGACCTCCTCGTCACTGATGTGGCACAGCTTCCTCCTCAAGGAGAAGGTCGTCCATGTCAAGGACGTACACGACAGCTTCCAGATGGCCAGTGCAAGTAAGCGAACATTAAAAAGACTAATACATTGTTGCCGCCAAGCGGATCAACCGCAACTCACTTGACGACCAAAGTAAATTCTGATGTACACGTCTGATTTTGAATAAGGCGAGTTTCATAGTTGAGGAACTCAGAAACCACGACGAGTAATGTACCAGTCAGATAAATCAAGCCCAACACTAATTTAAAACAGATTGGTTAATAATTTGTGTCCTCTTACTAGACAATGTTGGTAAAATGGAGAAAACAATTATTCCCAAGTTTAAATTGCCCTGTTTTCCGTCGATCGATAAGTTTACAAATACCGCTTTTGTGAGATTCCTTTGGTTTCGATGCGTCACATTAAAATCCATGACATTTTGAAACTATTTTCGTGATGTCAACCAAAGAGCATTTTCAAAGAAGGAAGTTCAGGCGAATTTGGAGGGTATGATAGTATTTTCCAGATAATCTCTTTCAAGGGATTATCGGTATGTCGAGCAGCGCCAGGGCTAGCTAAATCGTGATGAAGGACGACACTTTTCCTGTTGACCAATTGGATTGCGTCTTATTCAAGGGTGCTTTCTAGCAACGAAGGTGATCACAGAAGATATTCAAAGCGCTTGCATGATTGCTACCTAACAATCTTGCTGGATTACACCTTCTATTTCCTCTTTCTTGGTAGATGTTCTTCCTACCATTAATCCACGATTGGTGGGCGTTCTACCTTTGATAACCAGTAACATGAGGCTTGTTACGGAAGCAATAATCTATAACAAGCCAAACGCGGCAACAGATTTTTCAGAGAAAGCAGTTTACAGTCATTGGAGCATTTCTAATTTCCCCAAAAGAGCACATTTTCGATTGGATTTGAATTGATTTGGATTTCTTGCTCAGGATCCTACTCTACGCTGAACACGATCTTCCTCCCCCACTGACATTAGATCGACGGCGTTTAACATTATAGGAGATGGTTAAATTTCTCCCACGAATAACAAGACTGTCGCCAAATGGTGTCAGAAGTTGTCTTGAAATCAATAAGCTACAACAAACAACATGCTGTCCAAGATTTCCTAGACGCAGGTGATGTAGGAACCATTTTACAGTCACGTACAGCTTTCCGATATTTTTTGATTGGCTTACAGCGGTTGTGCAAGGCATATTCCCTGGAGGTTGTGGAGATATCTTGAGCTCCCAAAACTTCGGAATACTATTTTGGATAATTGTACAAAGTTAAATCATGCCCTCTATGTAAGGATAAACCTCTTCGCTCAAACTTTATAATATACCACGCCATCTTCTGCATCGGGACCATTATGAAACCTTTTAGTGAAGCATTTCTGGTATTAACTTTGGATGATACAAGCATGGCTATGCATGTTATTCAATAACATGAACGCCAAGGACGTATTTAACTTCGTAAATGCGATATCCAAAGCTACAACAAACCATGACATTTTAATAACTAATATACCTTATGTTTTCAATAAAAACCGACTTGATTTTACACCGCTCTGATTTTTAAGATAGGCAAATTTCGTGTTTACTGTTGGGGACCCACGATTCCCCAAGATTGGTTTCTGATGTTATTTACATTTATTCACTAACATTTGTTTTGCTACGCTTTTTATCAAGTCAAGGTCAACCCTGACTTGAATTAGTTTCACTTTCGTTACTGCACAGTGATTGTGTGTTTGGTTTATTAAGACGTCGTAATTTTGAATACCTCTTCACCGATTACTTCATGATGCACGCTAAGTTTCATCCGTCTTCATGGTGCAAATCAATGTGCGAAGGAAAATTTTGGAAAAAGCTTTCACCTCAAAAGTAGTCTAGCGTCGGCCAATTAAAATGCCAGCTTATCGGTGATTACTTAACGAGGCAGATCAAAATGTGTTCGCTCTCTCGCACAGAGATATCTGTGTCTAATCTTGCCGTAACTTTTAATTATACGCAACCACGATGATTCAGCCCGGACACAACGCTACCGTCAAAAGTGTACTTTACTGTTATTTGAAGTCGCCCACACGAGCCGCATGCACTGTTCACAGACGTAACAGCAAATTTACGAGTCCTTCCTACTAACAGTTTGCACACGCAGCAAGTGAAAAGTACAGTCGGGTGTTTAAGTGCATGCCTTTGTTTATAAATTAGAAACGATTTCAGAGAATACAATTGCTAATCACTTTGTACTTCTAAAATCAACTCCTTTTGCCCTGTCTTAAGTATTGTAAATGATTTGCTTGAAAGAACAAACTAGACAATTAGATTAAAATTTTCAAGAAATGGTTTTTGTTAAAAAAAAGCATTAGAGTTTTTCATCCTAGCTGTTTTAGAGGAGAAATTGCTTGCATTCTTTGTCATGTTTGCTAAAAAGATGATCTCCCAATCACGGCAAGAGGTTAGAATGTAGAGACGAATCATCAAAGTCGAGCACAAGTTATTCACGGGTACTGATAGTAGATATTCTTTAATTTACCGCGAAACACGATGGAAGCTAGAACCTTCTAATAACAGTAAATATTTAAAAAATAAATAGAGTAAACCCTAAACTGTAACGTTTATATGGATGATCACCTTTATGGTACAGTTCAAATAGTGTTCCAACGAAACCAGTGCAGTAAAACAAAGGATCATACAGAATTTGACACGGCAACCTTTGAACACCTACTCTAAATGGTAAGAGGACTTAAAGATGTTTCCTGTGCCACAGTTTGTGAACTCGTAGCGGATGGCGTGATCGCCATCTTCGCGCCAGTTTACCCCGAGACCCTGACCATCGTGAAGTCGATGACGGCGCAGCACGACGTCCTCGTTTTTACCACCACCGACGTTCACCACATTGGCACCTCGGCCGCGGAGGTGGCGGGCTCCGTGAACATCGTGAAACTTCGTCCCCTCACCGCGCCTGCTATGATTGACTTTATGATTCACTCGGAGTGGGAAGATGTGCTCTACCTCTACGAATCCGACGAAGGTACCGTCAAACATCATGCGATTTGTAAAATTTCAAGTCCAGCCAGAACACCAATGAATAATCAGTGTTTGATGGTGCAAAAATGGCGCCACTAGTTGAAGTGGTCATTGTTAAAATTTGGTGTCTTTAAAGTGTAATTGCAGGGCACATAAGTAATATTTAGTCGACAAATACATTTTCAACACCGAAGAAATTAAAACATGGAAGTTAAATGCCACTGACGGTTTTAGATTTCTATCAAAAAATAAGTTACATTGCCGCATGTAACGTTGTCACATGTAACATTTACAGAGAGTAGGTTTGTGGGTTAAGCACTGTCGGCATGCTAACAGACACCTGCCATTGGAAATGCAAGCACACGCAACATTTTGTACAAACAATTCGAATACAAATCACAATTTTTTATGGTTTGGAACCATCCGTAGTTAAACTTCGCACCGAGGTTCAAGTGTCTGTGATTGGTCAGAAATTAGGATAAATTGAATGTGATTCTACTCAGGACTTTCTATATACTAACCGTCATAGTTAAGTCACGCGGTGTAAACATCATGCTAGTGATTAACAATGATTCCACTTGATGTACATGAAAATTTGACCTTGAAAAACCTTCAGAGCAGAGCCAATCACAGCTGATTGGCGTCACCACCGGTTAGCCACAAAGACCTCTTCGATATCAGTAGATTCAAAGTGGTGCTTGTGACTTGTGACTAAACACTTGCGAAATGTTGCCACTGCCCTAAAAAGATCTAAATTGTGTGCCTTTGATCTGTTATCTGTTCGCGCTGCTCATCTCAGTGCTTTTTAACCGTTGACTTTTTGCCTTCAGGCAAGTGCCAGAGGCTGGAGATAATTGGGTTTGTTTTTCGCGTGCGCTTTAGCCAAATACCGCCTGCGATGGGTCCTCGAAAAGGCAATTAAACGAGCTCCCAGATTCACCGTTGACTTCCGCAAAATTACCTGGAAACCGGAGCCAGGCACGGGCGATGAGTATGGCCTGCGACAACACGTGCATCCGCGCACCAACGCCTTCCAGCGCAAGTCCATTCTCATCGACCTCTCGTCGCGTGAAAACACCCGAGAGTTGGTCGCTGCGATCGGATCAATTATGCCCGAGAGGGCGGATTTGCACTTCCTCATTGTCGGGGGCGTGAGTTTTCATCGTACCGCGTTTTACGCCGATTTTCATTGGTGGCTGATAATTGCCAAATTGATGGGCAATTAGTTTTTACGGTTCCGTCTAGGCGACAACTGGAGTTCGTTTGAGGAGGGTTAACAAAATAAACTCACTTCCTCCTTCGACGATTTAGACGTCTGCCGCAATCGACACATTGCCCAAACAGCTAAAGCCGTATCGGTTGTAAAACGACATTGACGAGAGTGTTATTTCGTTTTTGCTAGGATTACTGTGTCTGATTTGAATATCTTTTGCTAAATTGGCGATTTCCCATCGAGATTGTAAATAAGTCTCTTAGACCAATTTCCTAGGAAATTGCCAGAATCGAAGAATGGCAAATTACAACCTAGAAGTAAAACATTTTACGCAGGTTGTTTTAAACAATAAATGTTGCGACAGCAATTTGAATAAACACGAAAAGATAAACAGAAAGTGTGTACAACAAGTAGGGAAACAAACTGCAGTGGCAGATTTAAATAATGTTCAATTGCAGTTAACGATGTGATTTGCTTTTTTTCCGCAATCGGTAGATGCTACATATGTGAAGCAAATTTAGTTCACTTTAGTTAACAACTGAACACATATACCTGGTAGCTCGTAGCAAGGCATTTGAGTTTGTTGCATACTTAGCACATTTTTGACCTTAAACCCACGAATTATCATTCAACAACGACATCTTAAAATGCCTATGATGTGGATTCGGTATCATTTGAAATCAAAGAAAGTGACAAATATGCGATTGGCTAAGACGAGTTCTTTGTTTAAAATAAAACAAAAAATTCCCTCACAAAACACTTGTTGTCTCTACAGCCTATCTGCTCCAATCAACACGCTCCATTCAAAACTGTCTTCTGGTTGCATTGGTATCGGAGCCATTATGTTCGGACAAAAATATTTTTGCATAGCTCACACAGCACCTTGTAATAAAGCAAGAACCTAATTTTCTTGAGAAAGACATTCTTGCTCATCTTGCAGTCGTTCCCACTGTGATGCGTGTTTAAAATGGTCATTTGATCAATCACGCCGTGAGAGTCGCTTGGAATTCTCCTGCATAATTGACCTCTGCACGAAAACCAACCATCAGGCATGTTCGGCAAAAGCTGCTCGTCGAATTTGGTGTGTCACGCTACCTGAGAAATTTCTGCCAACCTCACAAATTATTAGCAGCATCACGCAACGGAGTTCGTTTTCCAGCGAGGTTGCTAACATAGGTTGGGTTCAGTGTTTCCAATAAATCTGCCAGCATCTTTCCATCGGTAGATCAAATCTACCGAGGCATGCATGATCTGGTGCTTGGTTAATTTGTCGGTGACTATACAAGTTAAGAAATATTCCAGGTTGAGTAATCTTTAATCAGGAAATTTAGCCAAATTTCATTGGTTCTAAGCTCATGCATTGAGAGGGATCAATTTGACGCCGTTTCTTTCTCCTCATTGGACAGGATATCAACTACATTAACGGTAGTTCTTTGAAATTTGGTGGAATCAACATGACGGCGCTCTCAGACATTAATTTCGACTCGGCAGCCGTGAAGACGTACACGCTGGAGTTGAATCCTCGTGCACGTGAATCGACCCTGGCCAATACAAACCTCTCGGTAAGGTTTTGTAGTAAAAGCTTAGCCCAAACTGCGTTCGTCAAAGCTTGCATCACCGTTTTCGATTCACAAAATCTTAGATTATTGTGCACAGTCTGCATGGGATTAAATATGCAGAGTCGTGTGCGCCAATGCTGATTTGAAATACTGTTTTTTTTCCTCAAAATTCTTCAAATTTGTTTCCGAAAATAAAAATGTCTCAGAGAGGATCAGCGCCAGTTTTTGAACTTACATGAGTGAATGATGGATTTGTGATACACCAGACAGGTGCGTATGAGACCAATTACATGTCTTCACACCTTAATCAACAATGGTTTAAGTGATAGTGACTAAATATAATGTGTTACAGGTCCTTTCATTCACATCCCCTTAACCTCTAGGCGTGAACGGTAAGACCACATCTTCATTTGACCATTTCAGCGATTTAAAATGTCAGTTTAAATATTCTGCTTGTTTTGGCAGCATGATTACAAATGTCGATTTTACAAATTAAGACTTGATCGATTTCTCAGCATTCGAACAGTTGTTTAAACTGAAGAATTGTATTGCGGAGGAATTGAACACACCAAGGGCAATTATCTCTGGAGATAGTAAAAATGCAACTTCAGAGATCGCTTCATTCATCATCACGTGGTGTGTCTGTGTTCGCGGCATTTAAATGGCCGTTTTAATTAATTTTAAAACAGCAAAAAACTGCACGAAAGGTCAGTGTATTAGTTGCAAAAGACTTTGGATCCATTAAAATTGGTCAAATGCGTTTACTTTGCGTAAATTGGTATAATTATGAAACACAGATCAATCACAACATACGGACTGGATTGCGGTTGGTGTGAGGAGGCGTCGAAACGTGTTTTTTTTGTGCCATGGGCGAACGTGGAGTGGACTGGCAGCCACCCCGCGTGAGTGATGCGTACATGAGGGCCCGCCGAGTGGACCAATGCCCCCCCTTTTGTCATTGGCCTCTGTCAGCATTTGCCTGTCACGCACGCGTACTCATACACCCACAAAGCCGCTTGGGTGGCGTGACGCTAATAAATGGTCGTGTCCTCTGTCACCTCCTCTCTTCCCTCTTCTCGGGTAGTCACGGGGTTCAGGTGAATCATGAACGCTCGCTCATGGCTGACTCCAGTTCTAGTTGACCCCATGGAGCCCTGTTTTAGCATTCAGTGACTCAGATGTTTGTCGTGGAGCGCCCACGTGTGTGTAAACGCGAACTTCGCTAATCCTATGAAATATATTGCTCACGTTTATGCACCACAAACGCGTCATTCGACTCCAGCTCAGTCAGTTCACGAGACGCCAGAAGCTTCACCATCATTAGCCTCCTTATTCTCCTTCGGAAAATTCTGTTATGGGTCTTAACATGTGGTCTTGAACCACGCCGCGACCACGGAATTAGCCCTGGCCCAATTACGTTTTCCTGATACCCGCGATGAAGAAAAAGATCGGGGAGGACGTGGACACAACCGTTTACTTCAGAGCTCAACCACGTTGGTGTTGTTGTGTCGTGTGTGGGATTTGCGCGTGTATATTTATACCTCGGATGTGGGAGTCTTACATGCGCTAACATCGAGACCTAGGTGTGAGGATAATCCAAGATCAATACTCGTGTGGATGAGGGGGGAGTTGAGGATCTGCGCGGCTGTTGACATGCAGCGAAAAGGGGGACCCCGCGTCGGAGGTGGAGCGACCGAATTAGGGGGTATGAATAGACACGATTCACAACCATCTGCGGACATTCACACCAATCTCCCAGAACCACAAATTAATTCCTGCTATAGAAAGTTGAAAACAAATTCCTAAATGGTCCACGCTAGTACTGCTTTTGAAGGCGGTTGTGTGAACCGACTTAACTAAACGTATTCAGGCTTTGCGATTGGAACCAACCGAGTGCTTGAAATACCAGACGGTTTAGCGTGGAGTCATAACGAGATTTTTTTCGCAGACTACGCGCCAACCCATCCAACTGGGTTGAAAATGAATTTGTAGCATGCCCGGCCGCAAATCTCGTTACATCGCGTCCCATCCGAGAGATTTTTGATCTTGATGCTGGACAGGGAAAAAATATGTTTTTTTTTGAGGGAGGATTTTGTTCATAGGGAATCCAGTGGGCGTGTTTTTGCGCAGTTTGCGCAAAAGACGAAGTCGGTTTTGTAATGCCAATACTACTTTTATTGAGGTATAAGTAGACACGAATTCGACTGAGATATACTGCATGCAACTAAGGGTGGTCAAGTAAGTCAAGCCGCATCTCCCGTGAATGCTGACAGCGGCTTTGCTTGACGATATTCCAGTATGAATCTGCTCTGCTCATTGATGGACTGAAGAGTCTGGTGCAGGCGCTGCAGCTTCTCAATGAGGACGATTATGCAGGTCGACTTGAAGCGCCGGAATTCTACGGAAACGCTGGAATCAGTCGATCTGGCAGTCTACCGTGCCAGCCAAACTCCGCGCCGGCGTTCTCAGCTCCAATGATCCTCAACAAACTGCGAAAGGTGGTGAAATATTCCGGTTCAGTTTTTTCGGTGGTTAAAATGTTTTGCTGCTTTGCGATAGACACCTGTTCCAATAAGTGACAAAGCCAAGAATGTTATTGATTTGACTTTGACCTGTTAGCATATTAGCCCACGTTTCCATTTTAGGGCTATTCAGGTAGTTGCAGGTGAACCTCAAATTAACACGTTACTTATATTTATCGAGTAGCCATTATTTACTGACAACCTTAAACGAAGATTTAAACATCAGGTCACTAACGAGCGATTAGGTTGTGAATAAAACTCATGGGCCAGGAGTGCATGATCGGAAAGCCTAGTGAACTATTTTCCCACACAGTGTCACGGTAACACTTTTGTCGAATATGTTGGTAGCATGACAAGTCTCTCCGCGTTATTCAAATTTCATCTCTCTTGAAGCAGTATTCAACAAAATCCAACACAACCGATATTCAGGTGTCACTGCAGATCTTGAGATGACAGAGTCGCAAGGAATCAAGTTAGCAAGAAGACTGTGATCAGTGTAGACGTAGAAGAAGTCAAAAATAGGTAGACTACAAGTATCTGGTGGAATGCCCAGATGCCGTCCAGTCGACGAAAGACTCCGGCACCGAAGCATTTGCCTTGTGACTGGCAGAAGGTCAATTCATACCGAGGCGACAGCAAGTCTCGAGTCAACATGAGGAGTTGGTTCGTCGCCGGTTTTGTTGTGGGCCCCAGCATGTGGTCTTGAACCACGCCGGGGCCACTGAATTAACTCTGGCGCGATTACGCGACCCTGATACTTGCGATGAAGAAGAAGAAGACCACTGGAGAGGACGTGGACACAACCGTCCACTTCAGAGCGCGACCGCGTTAGTATCGTCATGTGGTGTGTAGCTCAGGTGTGGGTGTGTGTAAAACGGCGTGAGTAACGTGCTAACTTCGACACCTAAGCGTGGAGATAATCCAAGATTATCGCTGGTGCTAATGAAGGGGAGAATTAAGATGTGAGAAGGGTAACCGGATTAACGAATATGACAAACGGAACTCACAACAGTTTCAAAGTTGCTCCATCGATTTTGGTAATGCCCTCAGAGGTGGTACATTCCTGTTTAAAGTGCACAAGACTAAACGAATTGTCATCGAAGTAATGGACACCTCAACTTATCTCAGACTTGTCCCTTCATAGACCTTCTGGTTGTGCTACGCGATCCCTATCAATTCAACTGTAGATCTGTCCCTTGCAGATTTCCTTCGGCGGTTTGACCGGGAACATGCGCATTGACAAGAACGGATTCCGAAGCCACTTCACCTTGGATCTTTGGGGTGTGAAAATGAAGCAGTCCTTTTCTAAGGTTGGGTTTCTGTCGCGGTGATAAATGGCAAAAAATCTACAGGCAGTCTCATCGATTGCATGGCTGTTTCTTTAGCTAGGTGAATGGAACTCTAATGCAGGAATTGTCATGGAATCACCGATGGACAAGACCAACTCGAGTGTCAAGGTGGACCTCAACCGCGTGAGAATTGTCTCTAGCATTCTGGTAAGTCCCTTCCACCAATCGCCGCGGGTTTTTTTGGTGGCATGTAATTAACAGCTTATCTTCTGTAATCTGCAATGCTATAATTACCTCATGCTTTGAAGTAGCTTAATTGCTTTTTAAGAGCACTTACAATCATGTAAGTCTCCCTCCAGCAAATAAATTGTTGTCACAGTATTGATAAAATCCTTAGATTATGGAACTGTCGAAGTAGAACTGATATGGGCGACAGCTGCTCTGGTGCATACTGCGCTCTTGGGAAAACGCTTGACACTCGATCTCTTAAATAATGTCAAGGAGATCGGATCTACATGATCGAACCTTACAACAAAGAGGCGATGGGTTTGCAGCGTTTCGCTGCAAATTCAAACATCCATTTTGGAGGTGTAATGTCTCCTTCTGAGAAAACGTCTTCTGCCATGGGCAGCCAGTTCTGCCTAACCTATTAATCCCATTAAACGATAAATTTTGACGAGTTTTTTTCATTCATGGTGTTTCCTACGTGTCCACTTTAAAAGAAGTTTGCAATTACTGAAAACTGAGGTGATAAACCAATGGAAAGATATTTCCACGAAGACAAAACCACGGTAATTTTGAAAAACAGTTGTGAGCGGGCGACAGCGCAGCATTTAGCAGTCTTTTAAAATTTCTGGACTCGAAAAAATTCCTACATTACGGATATCGGAACACATAATATCAGCAATCTTTTCGAAGTTGCCCAAGAAATCGGTTGGCCACGTCCAAGTTACGGTGAGCTTGTCGAATTTTCCGAGTTAGTATTCGAAGAGATTTCCACATTTTGGGTTGTACAAATGAGACTAGCGATCTTTTTTACTTACGATTATTGTACTTAGGCTCGTAAAACGTAGCGACAGTCAACTCAAACTGCGTAAACTGACAACATAAATGGCAAGCAGGGTTCAAGAACAATTTAATTATGGATTTCAGACTAATAGCGACAGATGCCTGACAACCAGTGTCTGCGACATTTCATTTGTCACCTTAAAATGAAGTTATTTGAGAAAGTAAATTGTAAATCAAGCAAGATGGGGTGTGAATTTGCCTCTTAAACACTGATGATGTACTTATCCCTGGACGCATTAAATTCAGGGTTTTCGTGGCTAACGACAGCTCCTGACAGTTATGCCTTAGGGCTAATTAACTCGAATTCCCCCCCTGTTAATTAATAGCCAAGAAGTAGTTCCCCTCTTTGTGTTGGGCTAGCTGCCTGCTCTTGTGGACAAGCGTCGAATGTGGATGGTGGAGTTTGGGTGGGAGCTAATGTAGCCTCGTTTTTTTAAAAAAAGAGGATAATTTAAAATGTGCGAACAATGTTGAGGCATAATTGATTTCATTGAAGCTCTCGCCATTCATGATGGAGAAGAAGGACGCCAACGGGAAGGCGATTAAGGGTGAATACGAGGGATTCTGCGTGGACCTGGTCAAAAAGTTGTCGGAGATGATAAAATTCAAGTACAGAATGAAGGCCGTCTCCGACGGCCAGTTTGGAAGCTTCGTCAACGGCAGCTGGGATGGAATGGTTGGAGAGCTGCTACGCAAGGTGAGTGAGCCTTCGGCTGTGACCGTTGCCATAGTCTCACCTGAATTGCCAGGCGTGTTTTAAGGGCACTGCACCAGTCAGCAAGCCGCATTTCAACCCAGTTGAACGTTAACACCCATTGGAGCCAGGTGAATCACCGGCGCCAGCCAACTTGCAGCTGACCTGTTCGGACGGGCTTCTGCTCAAATGCGTCGAAGGTCGAATTCAGAAGAATGCTTCGAGGGCCCCAGTTGATGTGACGGAAATGCCGCGATGGCTGACGCGTTCATTCACACGCACGATATGTTTGCTCTTAGAAAAGAAGCATTGCCTTTGCACCCCCTTCTGTTTGCTCGCATGAATTCCGTTGAATCGAAACCCCTCATTACGATAGGACCAGCAATTTGCTACAAATTTTGAGATCTTGATAGCGGTCAGCGTTGAGAATGCTCCTAGTCTGAACACAGTAGCTCGTTGTCGTAAACACCAATGAGCTTGCAGAGTGGTCCTCATTTTCAAATAAAAGCAACTGTCATTCAAATCCCTTTGTCAAATTCACAGAGAAATAAAATAATCGATAGTAAAAATCGATTGAGTTAACATACCTAGTCAGAATATTCGTGAACTATCTTGAATACGAGTAATATTGGCGGGCTCAGTGCTTACCAGCTAGACCACGATTGTATCAATTAATCACACAAATTTTTTTCGCTTCGATAATTGGTCGTTAATTAAACAAAGTGAATCGATATGTGTAAGGGCACTAATGTTAAGGAAACCATTGTACTTTTTCACCTAAGCATAAAACGCAGTTGCATAGAACGTTTCAATTTGATCACGAGTTTCTTTTTTAACTCAACTAAGCGTTCTGGACAAATACTTGATTACTGCCACACTTAATTCACTCTCAATTCTCATTAGACATATTTCTTACATCGAAACCGATATGCCGGCCTATCAGTTGCACAAAATCAGTTTTTTCAGACATTTGCATCCATTCAAATGAACTCTCTGTGAATCGCATAGAAGGGCTTTGTTGAAACCGTTTATTTTGTATTTCCGTCTTCATAGGAAGCCGACATAGTCGTGGCTCCGTTGACCATCACGTCAGATCGAGAACGCGTGGTTGACTTCACAACGCCCTTCATGGAGTTCGGACTGTCGGTGATGTACCAGAAAATTGACCGCCCCCACCCCGACCCCCTTTCCTTCATGGAGCCCCTGTCCACGGAGATCTGGATGTGCATCTCTTTCGCGTACCTCGGCGTCTCCGTGGTGCTCTTCCTTGTCAGTCGACTGAGTCCCGCCGAGTGGGGAGCGCCTCTAACCCAACTGAAGACCATCAGCGACCCCGGCTCGGACGGCGACGACGCTCTAGTGGTCGAAGACAATAAGGCTGGCGTCCACGGCCACATGGACAACGTCTTCTCAATTTTCAACAGTTTCTGGTTCGCTCTATCGACGTTCGTTCAGCAGGGTGGCGACATTGTTCCGAGGCAATGATTCATCCAGTTCCTCTTGAAGTTTTTATGAGTTTGAGTTCACGATTTCACCCACATGCCACGCAATTCGTGGCAACTGCGTCTGCCAACGTCGAATCCTGGTTTTCGCATGATCCCCTTTGGAGCAGTTGCGTTCCGCGACAGTTCCTTGACGCTTCACAGTTCTGATTTTGAGATCTACAGAAGTCCGTTCCACTTTAACTAAGGAGCTAAGTGACTGTGGCTGGGTATTTGCTGGAGGCAGTCGGCGTATTTAACTTCATAGTGGAGGCGCACAATTAATTAACAAGTCGTTTCATTGCGTGCCTGATTTCCAACTTCATTCCACCAACTAAAACGACCAGTTGGAAGACGGTAAAGTATTTAAAAACACCGTAAAATTTCCCTTCCCAAAATCACTTTTTTCACGAAATTTAGCGTTAAACAAGTGTTGCAAATATTTAAAAATGTCACACCGATTAGTATTTAAAATCCCGCTATTTCGACAATTACTTTTGTGCCATTCAAAACATTTTTGCGCAATCGTGGGATAGAATTTTAATTTTTAACTCCAATATTCAAAATTTTTTGGAAGTAAGTGATGACACGCACGTGCGTGTGCATATGCGCATCAAAATTCCACTTGAATTCATAGGATCTTCTAATTTTTTTACGAAAAGACGAATTTTTTATAACTTGATTATGGGGTAGGTCACACACAATTTGCGATTTTTGTACTTAAAGACAGTAATTTATTAAATTGTGTCGTATGCATTGGCACAAGCAGGTTTCAGGAGAGTGGAGCATTAACAAGTGATCGGTCAAGTTTGTGGTGAAAGAATTGGAAATATGCAAAATCGATACCAGATTTTTGTTTGAGATTGCCAATTGGTGTGAATTTGTTCTGCTACGTAATTGGCTAGTATGGGAGTCAGACCTTGCGCCTTTGGGACAATCCTATTTAAATAATTGTTCTCCAATTTAGTGGATGGACTTGTAGGGAATCGTGATGATTCACGTCCACCAACCAAGTCACTTCATTCTCAGACTTGCTGCTCCCCTTTCATGGAGTCATCAGCAGTCGTTCGGATACTTCTGTGCATGCGTCCCCTCTACTGATCTTGACCAAACTGCATACGTAATACATGAATTTGGGTACATACGCACAGCACATCTAATAAACGGCTGCTTCTCCGCCACCTCCTATCTGAATTAGCCTATTTACTCTACTCAACTACCCTAGAAGACAAGCGGAAGACCAGAGGTAGCTGACTCACGATCGTTTACTAATTGTAGTGGTCGCAGTCTGAGCGACCCTGTAAAAGTACAAATGTCTGATTGGCCAGATGAATGAAGCTGGTGGTGTGGGGGAGGTACACGCAGAGGGACATATGAGCAGGCGGTTTCCCATGCTCTATAGGCAGGTGAGTGCGGTGGTGATTTTGACGACGGTGTTGATGGACACGAATTCAGCACGATTCACAGAAAAATCTTCCCGCTTATCTACGAGACGCCAATCAGACCAATCACAACTCGGGGTCCCCGGTGTGGTTCGATACCACATGCCACAGACTTTGCAGAACCATAGCGCATTAATATGAGTTTGTGCGAATTTAGGAGACTAAAGAAGAATGCCATTGCGGTGACCCACGCAGGTCTCTTTTTTGTAATTTGACGAAAATGACTTAGAATTCTGACGCTTGCCTATAGCCACAAACGCTCTTTCCCCTCTGGTACCTGGACAGTCATTCTTTCTTCCTTCCCATCAGATCCCTTTCAGGCAGGATTGTTGGTGGAGCATGGTGGTTCTTCACGCTCATAATCGTCAGTTCGTACACCGCTAATTTGGCCGCCTACCTCACCGTGGAACGCATGACAAATCCAATCAAGTCCTACGAGGACTTGGCTCGCCAATCGAAAGTCAAATATGGCATTATCAAATCGGGTTCGACCCGCAACTTCTTCGAGGTAAGTGTGCGTCGTCATATCTCCAGTTTTTGTGCTTGGTTGTGGGCTGATACTTGACAGGTTTGTTGAGGCAAGACAGAGAAGCAATATGACAGAAAATGACGGCTGTCTAGGCGTTTAGTGCGTTTTGGAAAGAGCAGATGTTTGGCAAAAAAGGAGTCAGATTATATAAGGCTGCTTGATATTGATTTTTGAACGAACATCTCTCTGCGAAGTGCACTCAACGTAATCGATTAAATTTACGCTTATTAACAAGTTTCGCGCGCTGATCGCCTTAGGCGTTCTCATTGGCTGGTTAAAACGTCACCTGATGTGACGAAAAAAGTGGACCAATTAACTTAAAAATTAGCGTTCGAGATAAATTCGGTGAACTTTTAAGTATACGTTAGGAATTGATGTTAACATTTTATTTGTAAAAGTCCACCTATGTTGAGATGACTTTGAATACGCCAACTGAACTTCCAAATGACCTGTTTCTAAGCCATTTTTAATAAAAAATATCACGTTTGGTACGCTGTTGCCAGCAAGTATTTTATAATTCATGAAGTAAGAGAGCGAGCAAGAATACAAAACTTTGGTCTGCTGAGGTTGTACGGCTGATCCTTTCATAATTTAGAGACATGAACTTCGTTGACGATAAGTTACAAATTAATAAAATGTTCAGTCAGTTTTGTAACTTATTTTATTTGTTTAAATTGCTGCTACCTTTTCGCCCACCGAATTTAAGCATGCGTGCTTTTGGTGCCAATGTTTGATTTGACAAATCTAACCCATATTTGACCTAATAATCTTAAAATGAAATGGATTTCGTGTATTTTGGCAAGCATTTGATTGACTAAACTTTGTTCTAGACAAATTATCCCTGAACTACAGCATTTATTGGGTGAGTGAAAATACTCATGTCCGACTCTCGATGTCGGTTTAAATATGCTCTTATGAATGTGCTAACTTTCCTTTCATAATCTTTTCCATTTACTGACATTTATAACCTTCAAAATTTAGGCACAGTCGTATGAGTTCTCAAAAAAATAAGCAGGTTCTGGAACAGCTTATCTGATTCATGTTCCTGCTCGTCAGTTAAAACAAATGGCGTAAATCAAAACAATAAACTTCACTTTATGAAAATTTCCATCATTAGTAATGAATTTATCGGTCAGTCGATTAATTTGGATCCACCAATGGGGTTACAGTGCGGTTGTCTGTTATCGATTCCGCTGCGTTTTGAGTGAACTTTAAGTGCGATGCCTGCGTTTCGCAGGATTTAAAGGAGATGAACCAGCTGGATTCTGGTTCCACAACCACTTCTCGCCTCGCCTGCCACCAAAACGAACTTGTCATGGATCAAATTATAACGGCAGATGAAATATGCTGTGTGTTTGCGACAGCATACTCAAGGAACATTGTTCGCTAGGCTATTCCACGAAGATCAACTCGCGGAAATCGATGCGAGTCGGGCAAATTTTGTAAATCGCGGAGGCGCCAACTCTTTACCATGACAACGCTGCACCACACCCCACTTAAAATTGACGCGAAACCTTGGGAAAATCATTCTTTAACACCCGTCTTATCTCATGATTTTGAATGGGACAAAATAGATCATATAGAGAAAGTCAAAAATACCTTCACCGGTAGCTTTGAAGAGAATCCACGAGGTTATTTTTATAAATAAGAACGTATCATTGGTTAATAAGCGCTAATCACGAAAAACAGGTCGTCCTTGATTTGGTTTAAAATTGACATTCATTGTTTTGCAATCACACAATACGAAGCATCAAGTTTACAAGCTGCAAAATACAGCTAATTTGTGGTTTAAGAAAAATTTAAGCGGCAACTGCAAACCAAATCCGCGTATCAAACGTTTCAGCCCAACCATCGGAAAGCCTATTTTTTTTCTAAAATTGTTGAAAATGTGCCTAAGATTTCGTCTCGCGCCTGCGAAATCTGACTTTTTAGCGCTTCTTTTTAACTGACTTTAAATTGATTATATTTTGGTGCCTTAAAGCCTTTGGATATGCAAAACTGTACGTAAAAGTACAGATTACAATCTGTAATTAGCAAAATTAATTTTAGGGTTTAAACACGCACAATGATTATTGGTTCAACTACGCTTGGTAAAACGTACTTTCAGCTGTGACCAAAATGTGCGGATATCGTGGTAGTTTGTGACGCTACCACTTCACCTCCTACACCCCATGACTGCTCAAAAAGCAGGCTAAGATCGGACCCCTATTCCACCCAAATACACTGTTTCAAATTATGGCTTTTGTCTAAAATTGTGTTGCAGAAGTCCAACATAAAGATATTCCAGCGAATGTGGAAGTTCATGGAGTCGAATCCAGACGTCTTGGCGCCTACCGTGAAAGCGGGTGTTGAGAGGGTGATCAACTCCAACAAGGACTACGCCTTCATCCTCGAGTCGACGATGAACGAGTACTTCAATCAGCGCAGACCCTGCACCACGGTGAAGGTGAGTAAATTGCTGTCGCTGTTCTGCTGAGACAAGCAGAACACAATGTTAAACGTGAATTGTCTCCTTACTACAGTAAGCGGTTGCATGATGGCTAGTCCTGTTCAAGGCCCGATGTAGTCGTCAAGCCGCACCTGGGCTGACGACCTACATAGACACGATCCAATCAGGAAACAGATTACTGGACACGGTCGAACTGAATCGATTTTTTGCTGCAGTAAGAGCATGATCGCTTTGCCTGATTAGACGTCAGTTCCAGTAGAAACACGTAAAAATTGATCGTGAAGTGAATTCGAGAAAATTTGATAGAAATCACGTTCGTTCATGGTCAAATTCATGCGGTTTTTTTGTCAATTTACGCAGTTCTACGAAAATGGGCTGGCCTAATTGAGTGTTGCGAGGGGAGTGAGCTCGACTCTGATGCTGGGTGTGAAACATCAGAGGGTAACCGCTGCCACCAAAACGTAACGCGCCTACCAAGCGGGGACTTAAATAGGGAGATAACTGTAAGCCCGTCCCTCTTAGATAGCCACACCATCATGGTTAGCTACCAGGCACACGATAGAAGAATAACTGGAAGAACCGGATGTATTCCATACTACCGCACACAAACTCAGAGGGCTAGAGCTTTGGGAGAGTTAGAGTGGGGAAAAGGATGGCCGCGAGGAGGGTTGGCGTTGCCCTCAGACTCACGGGCGTGCCTTGAGGAAGGCGAGAGTGCGGGAGGGGAGAGGAGGACAAAGAAAAGGCCAGACCGGCGTGCGTGGGTCGAATGGCGCGCGTCACAGAGCCCCCTGTCGAGAAAAGCACTGCCCTCAGTGCTTTGTTGGGTGTGATGGATTGAGGACTTGAGGGACGCGGAGGTTCCTGAACCGGGAGCCGTTGGCTACAAAGGAGTAACCGCAGTCATTATGGTGTCAGTCGTGGTGTCCTGATTCTTCCTTCCAGTCGATCAAATCGGGAACACGCTGGCGTGCCGGGGGCCTGGCCTGGTCTGTTCTCCGGGGAAATCTTCGGAAAGGATAGAGTTGGGAGTGATGTGGTGCAGAGGGAAAAGGAGCGTGTGAGGGAGAGTTGAGTGTTGCGAGGGGCGTGAGCTCGACTCTGATGCTGGGTATGAAACATCAGAGGGTAACCGCTGCCACCAAAATGTGGCGTCGTGATTGTGAATTGGCCCGTTTACGCTACCCAAATAGCCGAGAAAACAAGCAGAAGACCAAGGATGGCAGTGATCTAACTGTTTACTAGAAAGCCCAAATGAGTTCTTTGTCGCGCCACTGCGCACATAAAACGTGTCTGGCCAAATGAGGCTGTCGATTAATGTAGTCTGGGTGAACCTGTAAAGTGGAAATGGCAAAACGGCCAGATGGATGAAGCGGGTAGTGGGGGGGGGGGGGGCACG